AAAATTCGATCAAGTTATTATTGAATTTTATTACTAAAAAAAAATTTCTAAAGTTTGAACTTTCTAATAAATCTAATCTTTTCCTAAAACAAGATGCATCCAATGTACACAATATTAGAAGATGTTAAATATTGAGAAGATATCAGTATTGAATTTTATCAGTAAAAGAAATTTCTAAAATTTAGCGTACATTCTAAAACAAAAAATACTCCAATAGTGAGTGACTTTTTTTCTTCTGACAGAATTTTAAATCACCATCAGAAGAAAAACCGTTTCAGTCATGTTCGCAATGAATAAATCTTGATAATCTACGTATTGCATTCTGCAATGTGTAACTGAATGATCATTTCGACTCGAAAAAATGAAAATCTCTACATAGTTGTGAAAAAGTTCGGGTGTAAAGTTCTAGACAGTTGTTGCGACGATCACACTGATAGATTATGAATTTTCATGCGTTCCAAAGCCCAGTAATGGTGATAACCGTAAAAATACTGTCGGTCTTACCGGACTTTGAAGCCTCGTAGCATGTGTTTGATCGCCGCTTTTGGATGTCCTCGTTGACTTTCATTGGCTATTATGAACGAACCTTAACGCGCAGGCGGTAAGCCAGTTATAAGAGTTGGGTCTACTTCAACCAAGCACATTTCTATTTACGCTGTGCTCACGACCGATCCCTCTACGTTCGTTACAGAAACCGGCAAATAACAATAGAAATGTAAGTAAAATTTTATTTTCAACGATTTTCCGAAGTTTTGAATCTTTGAAATATCTTCTTCCAATTGCGACAGTTCCTTATGCCCTATTTTTATTTCGCAACTCATCTGATATTTATCTCGATCTTCATAGACTAATTGTTTCGGTGAAACGTTTTTAACGAACAATTAAAATAAACACGAAATAAATTGGAACAAAATGTTGATCATGTGTGATTATATTTTGAAAGAAATGACAATTTAGTCGATGTAATTTGCAAGATATAATTTACCATTCTTGCAGTGAAATACAATTTATCTCGAAACAGGATAAACTTGATTTGTTTGAAGTTTCGTAGCATAATAGGTGGATAAGAAAATTTGTTTCCTTCCGAAGTGTCACGTATCAACTTTCAATTTTAAATGTCACGAGATGTGTAATTGCAAATCCTGGTGAAAGTTTGGAAAGTGTTATATTTAGTAGTGTATATATGGTGAACATACATGTACGTAATTAGCGCGTTGAACTTTACCTTATCCGCAGACATTTCTTTCCTGCGTTTATCACAGTTCCGTGCTACAGATTAGTCCAACTAATTTTGCTTTATCATCCGCGTTGTCACAGTTTACTCTTTAATGGACAAATACATAAATATACAATAAAATTAATTTTATTTTATATAGTTATAAATCTCGTGTTAAAAATATCATTAAAAAAATTCATTTCTAATAGAAATATAATCATACACTAAGAAGCTAGAAAATTTTTCCAAGTCAAATAAACTTTTAAATTCGTTCTGTTACAAATATCAAATCTTCGCAATGAAAATGGAACGAAAATGAAAAAAAAAAAAAAAAAAAAAAA